TGTGTGTGTGTGTGTGTGTTTGTTTGTGTGTGTGTGTGTGTGTGTGTGTGTGTGTGTGTGTGTGTGTGTGTGTGTGTGTGTGTGTGTGTTTGTGTGTGTGTGTGTGTGTGTGTGTGTTTGTGTGTGTGTGTGTGTGTTGTTCTGTGACCTCTAACCCCAGTCCAGTGTTGTGGTGTGTGTGTTTAGTAAACAGGGGTGTGTGTGTGTGTGTGTGTGTGTGTGTGTGTGTGTGTGTGTGTGACAGTGGCGATGGTGTTGTTTCCACATGAGTGCTGGTCAGATCCACATTACAGACGCTCAATTAGAGCTCATTTACTGTGAACCAGCAGATCCATATCACACACACACACACACACACACACACACACACACACACACACACTGTACTGCACATTACATCAGCTTCAGCATGTCTGCACAATAACACACTCGCAGTCCACGATGACGCCTAAATCCTGCCATTCTCGTAATATAGCAGAGAACAGAGACAACAGAAACAATAATGCCTTTATTAATGAGAGTTTGCGTCTTGTTTCTAGTCCAAATATCTACAAACTTTTAAATTAAGAAGCATTTTCTAGACAAACACTGCATAATTTCTTGTTTTCAGAAATAAAAAGTCAAAATAAAGAGAGTTTTACCTTTAAAGAAGCAAAATAATCAAAGAATGGGGGAAATAAAGTAATCTTCTATATATAATAACAATCTAATAACATTGTTCTTACTTAAAACCACATCTATAATGCTCTTAGTCTATGCTGACATGATCTTCAGCAGCTCAAACACTCTAATGGCTAATGGACAGACGGCTGCTTCTCACTCAGGGCTGCTGTTTATGCTAATGAGGTGGAGAGATGGACACTAGTGGGCGGGGCTTTCCCCCTCGGATGTCACATGCAAAGCGAGAACATCAATCACAGTGTTTCTGCATCAAGTCTGATTAGAACAAACACAATAATGCATGTTGCCCATTAGAGGCTGGATATGTTCACACACTGCTGACACACAGCTGGGCTTAAACCCAATATATAAGTCACCTTTGCATCTTAGATGGTCTTTAAATTTAGCAGTATGTATGAGAATTGGTACTTCTGTCCGTCTCTCCCCTACAGAACGTCCCTCTGGCGTGTGTTGTTTGACCGTCAGGGGTTTTCATCTCTGCTTAATTAGTGAAAGCGAGTTCATGTGCTCTACATGTTGTGTCGTGAGACAGTCAGTTCAGTGTCTACATTAATAGTTGAGTGTACTACGCAGACAGCATCTCCACGTGCTGCTCTATTAGTGCTCCTCATGTGACTACGCTTACTTTCAACTTTACTTCTACACCGCGTTTCACTATAATGAGCATTCCAGAGCAGATTTACACAAGCTGCAGTGTAGAAATGCCGTCTGTACTCAGAGTTTTTCTCTTGTTTTAGTCCAAATATCTAAAGAAGCATTTTCAAGACACGTAAAAAATATTGTCTTGTTTTCAGAAATAATGAGTCGAAATTAGGTTATTATGGGGCGTCACAATGGCTCAGTGGTCAGCACTGTGGCATCACAGCAAGAAAGTCACTTGTTTGAGTCTCGGCTGGGTCAGTTAGTGTTTCTGTGTGGAGTTTGCATGTTCTCCCAGTGTTGGCGTGGGTTTCCTCCGGGTGCTCTGGTTTCCCCCACAGTCCAAACACATGCGCTATAGGGGAACTGATCAACTACACTGATGTTTTATAAACAAATTTCGGGGGAGTAAAGCATATAAAGATAAGGTGGAGCGGCTGCTTTTTAAAGTGAATGATGGTGAATGAAAGTTAGAGCGATGAGCGGTCTGACAAACAAGAGCCCTTCTGAATCAAATCAGCGAATGCCATTCTGGATCTTTCACTTACTGTAAAGACACGACTACGCTTACATGGACATCTGTAGTCTAGTTATTTGCAAATAAGGAGTGAGGACTGTGGAGAGTGTTATGGGGATTAATAATGCACAACAATTATCATAGCAGAACTATTAGTGAAGCAGTTTGTGATGCATTTTGGAAACAGGAGATGAGCCCCTGGTCTAAAGTCACCTCTATTTAACCACCAAGTTTTTTTTTTTTTTGACTGGAAATGACCCAGGCTTCTGCCAAAAGATAATAAGATGATGTACAAGAGGCATGATTGTGGGAAAAATATATATTTTTAGCTTTAACTTGAACAAAAAACCCTGGCAAATCTAAATTGAATACCTTTTTTTTTTTTGGTAATTTAGTCAAAAATATATATTTTTTTATTCCTAAAACAAACAAAATAATCTGCCAACGGTGGAGGAAAAATAATGTTATGTCAAAAGAAAAATCAAGAGGGCAGATGGGCAGATTATTTTGCCTGTTTTAAAGGAAAACACTTAATTTTGATTCATTATTTCTGAAAACAGCACTATACTTTCTGCTTGTCCAAAACCTAAACCTTTCTGTATTTAAGAATGTTTAGGTAATTGGACTAGAAGCGAGATAAAAAAGGCATTTATTTAAAATGCAGAGAAAGAGTTAATAGTGTTATTGTCATTAATTATACCAAATATTTATATATATATATATATATATATATACAGTTGAAGTCCCCCACTTTAAATTTTTATTTCTTTTTTTTTTTATATTTCCAAATGATGTTGAACAGATTCAGGAAATGTTCACAGTATGTCTGATAATATTTGTTCTTGAGAAAGTCTGATTTGTTTTATTTTGGCTAGAATAAAAGCAGTTATTAATTTTTTAAACACCATTTTAAGGTCAATATTATTAGCCCCTTTAAGCTATATTTTGTTTCGATAGTCTACAGAACAAACCATCATTATACAATAACCTGCCTAATTACCCTAACCTGCCTAGTTACCCTAATTACCCTAGTGAAGCCTTTACATGTCACTTTAAGCTGTATAGAAGTGTCTTGAAGAATATCTAGTCTAATATTATTTACTGTCATCATGACAAAGAGAAAATAAACCTGTTATTAGAAATGAGTTATTAACACAATTATGATTAGAAATGTGTTGAGCATATATATATATATATATATATATATGTGCATTTTCACAAATATATGCATGCATGTGTGTATTTATATATACATGATAAACATATAGAGTACACACATATATTATGCCAAATAAAAAATTTTTGACGCAATCAATCTTTTTTGCAAAGATAAAGGACAAAATATGTTTGCAGTTAACATATTGACAAGTTAATAGTCAGGTATATTTAATATAATAACTGAATTAAATTGAATTGAATTTAATTGAAAATATAAACGAGAGTAAGCCAGTAAAATAATCTGTCAATGGTGTAAGCAAAATAATGTTATTTCTAAACGAAACAGGATTATTTTTCTTCACCCACTGGCAGATTATTTTGTTTGTTAATAATTTTATAATAACTTAATTTTGACTCATTATTTCTGAAAACAGCACTACATTTTCTACTTGTCCAGAAATTTCTTCTTGATTTAAGAAAGTTTAGGTATTTGGACTAGAATCCAGATAAAAAAAGGCATTTTTGCATTGCAGGGAAAATGTTAATAGTGTTATTATTAGTGTTACATTATTTATACCAAATATATATATATGTGTGTTATTTTTCAGGGCCGAACGCTGATCTGCATTACTCTATAGCCTCCGGCGACCCTCAATCTCAGTTCAGCATCACGAACACCGGCGTTTTACACACAACGAAGACTCTGGATCGAGAAACACAGTCATTTTATAACCTGGTGATCACAGTAAATGACCTGGCACTGCCACCCTCCACCCGCTTCACCAGCACCGCCCAGATCTCCATCATCCTGCTGGACGTCAATGACTGCGCCCCCGTCTTTACCTCCCCGAGAACGGCCTACATCCAGGAGAACACGCCGGTGGACATGCGTGTGTTTACTGCGCAGGCCAGCGATGCTGACAGCGGACCCAACAGCTATGTGGAGTATTCCCTGAGCGGGGCGTTCGGGAGTAAATTCGGGATTGGGATGATCGACGGAGGAGTGACGCTGCTGGGAGAACTGGACCGGGAGGAGATGGAGAACTACACGCTCACTATCGTGGCCACCGATAAAGGAGATCCGCCGCTGTCGTCCAGCATGGAGGTCATCATGATGGTTTTAGATGTAAACGATAACACGCCGAGCTTCTCTCAGAACATCTACGACATCGAAATCCAGGAGAACACGCTCACCGGCACCGACATCCTGCAGGTACCATGCTATGATTCTGTTGCGATCGATATGTAAAAGACGACACTGTAAAAATGCAGTTTTCCATTTTGAGTCATTTATTTATGCTTTTGAATTGCATTATGGCACCTTGATCTTTATTCCAACAACTTTTCTGCGCATGTGTAATCGTGTGCAGGGGTGATTGTCTGGGTTGGTGTCAGGGGCATCGCTAGACCCCATTCACTGGGGCACGTGCCTCAGTAATAATAGCCAGTGCCCCAGTAAATGCTTTGAGATAGGATTTACTTTATGCAAGTGTATTTAATAAGAGTGGTAATCCCAGAATAAAGACGTTATTCTCCATGTGCAACCGAACCAATGCTGATGAAAGCAATGTAGTTTAATCAAAAACAAACTGAAAGTCCCGTGAACATGCACGGCGGACAAATAGCTGTTGTGGTTATGCGATGTGAAACCAGCGATATAGTCTTTTAAGCGAGGGTGTCGGCACGCAGTGAGTGTTGCAAGTCGACAAAACAAAGTTTAAATAACATGATGATGATCTTATTTATACTAAAGCTGGTTTATACTTCTGCATCAAGTGACCGGCGTAACCCACGGCGCAGGCAACGCGTGTAGCTGTGCATTTATACTTCTGCTGCTGTCTCTGTCGGTCTGCATTAACACTTCTGAAACGCTAGTTTGCAGTGAGGTGTTAATGTGTCTCTGTGTCGAGTCTTTTGCTTTTCCTGAACACTTCCGGGATGTACAAGTGGCTCAAACTCGCTCATTTTGAGGCAGCAACCGGCGGACGTGCAACAACTTTAACTATGAGTTAAACACAAAACAAAACTTTCCATCCGGAGCTCCTTCACGGGACTTGTAAACACTTGTAAAAAATCGCTGCATCAGGCTCGCACCATTTACGCGGCTCTCGGTCCCGCCCAGACTTGTCAGCACTACCAAGCCGACCAATCACAGAGCTTGCGCTACGCGTCGTTGCGACGTGTAGATAATTTTTTTTAAAGGTAAACGTCAGCGACGGCCAAATCGTAGGGCTATGCATCAACGCCGTAGGCTGCGCCGTAGCATACGCGTGCACTTGACGCAGAAGTATAGATCATGGCTCCTGATAGATTTTTTGTAAGAAGCAAAAAGGAGGGATGATGAGTAAAGGAGGTCAGACTTAATGAACATAAATCCCGGCCAAAAGTCGGGTAAGACCACACACAACAGATCATTCTATAAACATCTTTTTTTTGTTTTCTATAAAGCTGTCTATAGAATTTTATTCAACCCAGGCTCATTCTGAAAACGTAGTCCCGCGGACGTTTCTGGAGACCGTGGAATACATCCCGGCGGGTACGTACGGCTGCAGTTTTTGTTTTTGCGAATCCGCGAATGGCCGCTGCTGTGCACTTTTTCGCATCTCAAACGCCTCTCGCGAGTGCAGTTCGCGCCCGCGCTGTTCTCGCATGAACCCACCAGAGGCCGCTGTCCGACTGACGGGATGATTGACTGCGCAACCGGCCAATCGGATGACCTGCCCTCCTCCTTCCCTAAACCCAACCAATTTTACCGACTGACCCGCCCGCCCGCTCGCTTCCCTAAACCCGAGCAACAGTTTACAAAAGCCGTCCAAAATAAGAAAAGCCCTGATTTTTTTTTTTTTTACCGTGTTTTCGGATTTCACCACGTTCTCACCCTGTTACAAAACTCGTTTACTTAATTTTTGGGATTCTGTTTTTGTCTTACCTGATTGCTGAAACCGCTCTTCGCCGGACTCGAAACGGGTTGCAGCGGGGAAGTCCTCCACTAGGAGGTAAGCGGTCGGCCAGCAAGCGCGAAAGGGAACAGCGTCACACCGCCCCGCAACGTTCGCTTGAAAAAAATAAACGCGGCCGTACGTACCTCCCGGGACGTATTCCGCTGTCTCCAGAAACGTCCGCGGGACTATGTTTTCAGAATAAGCCTGGGTTGATTTTATTCAAATGAAATGAATATTCATGCAAAAGATTTCTTAAATTATCTTAGCATCACTCCAGTTATCAGTTATTAGAGATGAGTTATTAACAATTATGATTAGAAATGTGTTGAAGAAATCTGCTCTGTTTAATATATAAAAATATACAGGATGGCGAATAATTCAGACGGTATGTGTTCATTTGTCCACCTGCAGGTGTTCGCCAGCGACGCCGATGAGGGAACCAACGGTCAGATCCGCTTCTCCATCACCGGTGGGAACCTGAACTCTGACTTCCGCATGGACTCTGTGACGGGGGTGATCTCTGTGGCCAAGCTGCTGGACCGGGAGAGCAGATCCTCGTACTCTCTGCAGGTGCAGGCTGCGGATCGCGGCAGCAGTCCTCGTGTGGACCGAGCCACCGTTAACATCGTGCTGTTGGATGTGAACGACTGCGCTCCGGTGTTCGAGCTCTCGCCGTACACCATCAGCGTCCAGGAGAACCTCGGAAACCTGCCCAAGAACATCCTACAGGTGAGCAGCAGACCTTCCCTGTGACTCACAGACGACCGACGCCTGGAACACGGGGAACCCATGACTTATGCATGAGGACATTTAGAACACGTGTGTGTCACTCGGTCATATATATGATGCTGGTGTGTGTGTGTGTGTGTGTGTGTGTGATGGTCAGGTTGTGGCTCGTGATGATGATCTGGGCACAAACGGTCAGATCAGCTACAGTCTGTCCAGCGGGAACGACGCCGGAGCCTTCAGTCTGTCAGCCAGCGGGCAGCTCAACCTGATACACACCCTGGACCGGGAGACGCAGGACACACACACACTGATCATCACTGCACACGATGCAGGTATGGACACATCACACATGCGCACACACACACACACACTCTCACAGACATACTTGCAAACACATATACACAAACGCACACTAATACATACACACACAGACACACCCACACACACACACTGATCACAGATACACATGATGTAGGTAAGAGCAGATCACACACACACACACACATAAAGAGATCATGATGGCACACGATGCAAGTAAGAGCGGATGACAATAATGCTGACCATGCACATACAGTACACACACACACACACACACACACACACACACACACACACACACAGTTCTTGAATTTTGGATGAAATGATGGAATATACACATTATGTCTATGCAGAGTCTCCAAAAAGGTAGCTGTGTGTCTCTGTGTGTGTGTGTGTGTGTGTGCGTGCGTGCATGCATGCCTATATTTTTGTATGTGTGTGTCTGTGTGTGCATGCATTGTTGTTTGTGTATGTGTGCATCTATTCGTCTTTTCTTGAGTGTGTTTGTGTGTGTATATTTATAAGTGCATTTGTGTGTGTGTGTGTGTGTGTGTATATATGCGTGTGTGTGTGTGTGTGTATATGCGTGCATGTGAGTGTGTGTGTGTGTGTGTGTGTGTGTGTGTGTGTGTGTGTGTGTGTGTGTGTGTGTGTGTGTGTGTGTGTGTGTGTGTGTGTGTGTGTGTGTGTGTGTGTGTGTGTGTGTGTGTGTGTGTGTGTGTGTGTGTGTGTGTGTGTGTGTGTGTGTGTGTGTGTGTGTGTGTGTGTGTGTGTGTGTGTGTGTGTG